CGTTCTGCATCAGTGTGTCCTTATATTCAATTTTCTGTACTAGTTTGATACTGATTGTGATCGATAGACCATAGTGAAGAACTAGCAGCGGAGTGCTATGAGTGGCTCGTTTCTGGAGGATTTGTATGACATTAGACGCACTGCCACTTTTACCCTTAACCACCAATGATATATTGCGCTGTTTATCTCGCCGTTCTGCGATTCTCTTCCATTTGTCTTTCATCGATTGAGCTACAGTTGCAGTACTACTAGCAATGTTGTTATCAACCTGGGTTATAACGTGTACTATCCCTTCCGGTGACCATTGGTTCCTGGACCCGTCTCAGGGTACAGGTATATCGATTTTTTTGTCTGTCTCACGATCGATACCGGCCCGCTTGCGGTCCGTTTTGTGGCTCCTTTTTTGAGGGGCTCTTTCTGTGTCCCCTTAGTTATTCGCCTCCTGTTCGTTACTACCATCTGTTGTGCTATGGCCGCGTCCTCATCTTCTGCCGTCGCTTCTTCGCGCTCACTTGTGCCTCCTGTTGAAGAGATAAGTCGTTCTCTGCTTTTGGACAGATTAACGTTGCATTTGGCTATTGGGCAACCTTACCACTTCGTCATATCACGCGCTTCACTCTTGGCATCGTATGGTCACCTTCTTCTTTATTCTTGACATTCGAGCTCCGTCTTTTCTGTACCCTACAAGTACCTCGTCCTTTTGTCGTTTGCATCCCTCAGTTGTTGCTTATCAATGCTGAGGTACGCGTATTGTTCATCTTGCTCCGAGCCTCGTACTTACTTGATCCTAGTGCGCTACTTTCTAACAGGTACATTAATTATGAATATAGTTGTTGCTTATCAACGCTGAGCGCGCTACTTTCTAACACCTCCTGCTTCTCTCGTTGTTTCAGATGTGCAACTGGATGATGACGGGCTCTCGGTCGTCTCCACTTTCTTGCTTCGATGTTTGTTTGAGTATCGTGGAGTATCTCGAGAGCGGTTCATCGCATCTCAGCAGTATCCAGCTGGAGTATTTTTGTCAGTGACTGCTCCTACGGTGCATCACTTGATTGACCATTTTCCTAATATTAGTGATGTTCTGGCCCGGCTTGGCTTGAAAGCCGCGGCTTTGGGCCGGCTTCAGATGGCTTGGGCTTTCAAAAATTCCAGGCCGGGCCAAAGCGGCCAGTGATGGCTGGCTTTGGCTCGGCTTTGGCCTGAGCCGCGGCCCAAGTACTGAAAATGAAGAAACATGTTCAAAAAGCCATCACCAAGCCGTGACTTTGGCCTGGCTCGGCTTGGCCTATTCAGGCCCGGCTTGGCCTGGCCCACGGCCTGAAGCCGGGCCGTGCACATCACTATTTCCTATGTTGACTCGCGCTCATTTCAATGATCTGGCATGTTCTCATTCGGTCTCAGTTAAGGCCTCTGATACGTGGGACTATGTTCGCGATATACTTCGTGTCCACCTTTGTACAGCCCAATGTGGCGGATTATTTTTCGTTTTTAAGCATTTGCTTCATGCCAGACGTCGCTTCGCTCCTGAAGTTCTTCCTGAGCCTTTCACACAGTCAAGTAAGCAGACACATGCTCTCGCCAAGGCTTCATCTTTGGCTAATATGCCTGATATTCGACATCTTGCTACTCGTGAACAGGACCTTGCCGCGCATTGTCGTGCACGTGGTACTTAGTGCTGCTGTGGTCCGGTTTGGTCCGGTTCAGAGGCAGTTTGATGAGAACCAAGAACCGGACCAAGGTCCGGTTCTACCTTTATTGACGAACCTTGGACCAAACCTTTGCGGACGGTTCGCACCAGTCAGGTTTGGTTTTTTTTTCGGTTCGAACGTGAACCAGACCCAATTTTTTTACAGCTAGCAAAAAAAAACATATACTGTAGCGTTTCGACCTTAGGTTCGTGGGAATATATGCACTGCATTACGTAACGGGTTTGTGACATGTTCGTCGACCTTTGCGACGTGCGATGAACCTAATTTAGGTTCGTCCGAGGCTTCAAAGTTATGCATCAAGGACCTCCGAGTCACAAGTTCGGCCATCAATGTCCTCGCTTAGTACTCTAGGAGTTGCACTTCTGTGAGTCGTCAATGCTTGCCATCAATGTCCTCGCTTAGTGCTCTGGGAGCTGCACTTCTGTTGTGACTTCAGATCTGCCTAGGCCGCTTTGAATAATATAAACATTACTGCCAGGTATGTTTCCTGCAATTTGGTTTTTCACTGTTACTCATCATGTTTCCTCATAGTGATCTAGTTCTCAGATTTCCGCCTGTCTTGCAGGATCACCATCACCTGTTGACACCACCCCCTTACTTCGCATCTTTCATCCCTCTTCCCGATCTCTCAATATCAGCCCTCGTCAAGCTGATGATGGTGCAGAAGGTGATGCCAACACCAATTTGGATGAAGACCATGTTGCCGATGTTGATGAACAGCCTGGTGACGAGGCCCTGTTGTTGCTCCTGCTAGAGTTCATTGCATCAGGCAAGGATCGTGTACCTGATGGGTACATCACTGATGCAAATGGTTCGCTTCGCATTGATACAGCTGCTGACATGTTCGAAGAAGTTGTTGTCGCTGGAGAACCTGAGGTCTTTGGGAGAGGAAAGCGGAGGCGTCTTGCTAACAAGCAATACAATGCATACGAGCAGCATTAGTATAGGTTATAGGTCATATTTTCTACAAAAATTGCATACGAACATAATGTCACAAACTTAGGTTCGTCCACCCATTTTTTGTGTGACTGTCACAAAAAATAGGTTCAGTTCGTCAGGCTAGCGACGTTGTGATGAACCTAAGGTCGAAACACTACAGTATTAGAAGTACTTGTACTGATAACTATGTATCTAACATATCTAATGAAGTTGCATTTCCCTCAGCCTCTGCTGCAGCAGAAGTGCACGGTGCTTCTCGGTGTTGAATGCGAACTCAAATATCGAAAGAGGAGAGGTGTGGAGATGGATGGCAAAAGACAGCGATCTCCAGGAAGCTGTAAAAGATTAGCCAAGGAAGTGCTGTGTGTTTCATAGCCTGACTGACCTTTGCACAAGTACCGTAGCAGCCTTGAGCGCCGATTCCTAAACAAGATTGTCCAGTCAAATTAGTATCTGTACATCAGCTTATGCAGGAATCAAGATTGTGTACTCCCATAACAATGATTGAGAGAATCGTTCGAGAGAAGGTGTAAGTTCTGGTGGGTCATTCATTATCGCGTCATCACAACTCAAATGAGACATACCTCCAAGAGGTCTCCACCTGAGACTCTCGAGCATGAACACGGTGACCTCTGGCAGCATTTCCTGATCATCAAATGTCAGCACTAATCAGGAGCTATCTCAGTCAGTGTACGTCACATAGCTGCAGCCGCTTCCGCATCAGTTTCAGGAACAATGCCATATCTCTGCAGTGTATTTTAATAGAACGAAATTGGAGGGACGAGGAGTGACTCACATTTTCATCTTGAGCAAGAGGTATGTCGACGATCGTCAGTGCATGTGGAATGTTCTTCAGAAACAACTTGAGGTTGAAATTCCAATGTCAGGACTGTCATTCGATTGGTTGGGATGTATTTAGAGGCCATGTGCTGAAATGTTTGGAACTGAGCAAACAATGCCAACAAATGAGGCATGATGGGCTTGCAGGAAAAGCTGCACGACGAGACACATGGTTTGATTCATTGGGGAGTTGAGCATTTTTCATAGCGGTTGACGATGATTGGTTTGATTTCACCAAGATCAAGAATTTGTTGATCGATCGTGAGACGGACCTGATTGAGGACAGTGCTGAGTGCTCAACAAAGAACATATAAGTCCCCCATCCAGAGTCGAGTCTACATGTGCAACGTACCTAAATAGTATCAAGATTGATTCAGACCAGTGCAAACACAACCAGTCTCTGCCATGTGCATTAATATTGGAGAATCCTGGAAAATATATCAAAGTGTTCAGTTTGAACAGTGCATGTCATGACTTACCTTGTCAATGAGCCTCTGCATTTGACGGAAACAAGTAAGTATCGAAGCTCAAGAATCCTTGAGGCCAAGGTGGATCATTGAAGGCAGTGTCAAAACACGCTTCGACAATGCGACAGAACTTCTCGCGGTTCGGGGAAGGTTCGAACCAACATAGAACCATTTGGGCAAATGGTGGACCGCGAACCTCACTCAGGTCTGGTCCGCCCCAATTCATGGACCACGGACTGAACCAAGGAAGAACCTGACCGTTGGTCAGGTTTGGACCGTGGTTCTGGACCAAACCATGGCAGCACTAGTGGTACTAATGTTCCTGTGGAAGATGACTCGCAATTCCCAATGATTTGTACAATGGCTGACAAGATGCGCATCATCGCTGAATGGCAAGAGTATATGTCGTATAGAAGATAAACTCAGTTGTGTATAACCAACTGTGTATAATATGTACCTATAGAAGATAAACTAGGTAGCTCATTAGTGTCTGTACTAGTAAGTAACAAATGTATCTCACCTCAGTTGTGTATAACCAACTGAGGTGTGTTTAGCATATGAGAAGTCTAAACAATGAGTGTGATTATGTAAGCATATGATTGAACGTCCGTGCTATCTATTGATAATGATGTTTGACCTTCAACATGTCGCCTGACAACCAGAAGCGAGGCGTGTGTGCTGTATGTGCGCATAATGTTTGTGCATCTGATTTGGTCTCTGTTGAGACCTCTAGACTTTCACTTTGCCTTTTGCAAAACAAATGTCTACTAGAGCATACATTGCCATGTTTGTATGATTTTGAGCTCTATTTGTGTGCCATTTTGTACCCAAAAGGCATGATTGATCGTTGGTCATTAGCCCCACTGTTGCTTTGTTCCGTATGTTGTGGATATTTGTTACGGACACTGGCACGCCAACCTATTAATTCTTTGGCTAATTTTCAGTATTATGGTCACGAGCGTTTGCCACATCCCATTGTAGAGACTGATATCTCTGTGGGCTTGCAGGGATCTAAATTCCCAATGTCTCTACCACTTCCTAACATAGCACGACCCATATCTCACCCAGCGTGCTCGAGCACTTTGTTGGCCACTCGCTCATACCAGCACTCTGGTCGCTCATCAGTCGCACGTCGGCGCGTGCATCCTTGGTTCCGTCGCTCATCCTCTGTCTATCCATTCCATGTCCATTTGGTTCGTCAGTGCATATTCCCAACTTATTTCCATTTATTCTGACATATCTCCAGCGCTTATGGTCATATTCCGTATGTTTTCCATGATGGACCCTTAGATTACATATTATTCCATATCCGCTTTGCTTCTCAGTTCACTTTAGTGCTTGACAGCACTTATCATTACTTAGTATATATACACGTGCCTAAACTGTATAATGGGAATCTTTCTGCCCGCACATCATTGGACTATAAGTCTAAGTTCTCCCTCTAAATCTAAAGTATCTAAGTACAATACAAGCACTGCTGCTGTACATTACTAGAAACTCTGCCAAATAGTTTTCTGACTCAATAAGAGTCGCTGTGCTCCACCACCTGCATGCGCGCACTGCTACCGTTTAGCGCGCACTCCGTTATAAGTCATGTGCCGTCACTTGTCATCAGACGATTATCGCTCATTGGCACTTCATGTCGCTTTCACTCACTCGCGCTTCGCTCATCGTCGTGCGCCTTACCAGGCTTGACCAAGTGCCTGGTTCAGTGTTTCCCTCCATTTATACACTTAGAGGAACCTTCTCAGTAGCAATCCCCTTGGGCCGACATATATCTCGCTCATCAAGGACTACTTGAGTTTATCTCATACCATCATATTACCCCACTTCCCATTCCTCTTCTACACCGTCCATGATGCACTTTCTGGTGCTTCATCATATGATCTCATGTTGATCTCTTGTGCACGTGCATCCCATGTGACTCACTTCTATACTTATAAGGCTAATCCAGGTGGTTATCGGCAGAGCGAGGAGTCCTCGCAGCGTTACAACCAGGGAAATGTCGCTATTCGTCCTCAGGATTCGCCTCAGCTGCACTCATTGCTTCCTCCTATGTACGATGAAATTTGGGACACTGTCTGTGTTGTTTTTGCTGGTCACAACCAGGTTCCGACGTGAGATATGGTTAAAACGATGCAGCCAGTGCTTGTCACGAAAAGTATTGTTCAGACACTTATTGAATTTTTGATTGCTCACAATCCTTGGTATCAGCAAAGTGGTGTTTCTTTCAGCCAGTCTAATATGGCTGATCTATTTGATACAATTGGCATTAATGATGACTGTGGTATTCTCCGCACTCTTGAAGTGTGTTATTTGCCAGGAGCAGGATCATCAGATTCTTCTGAGTCTCATGCACCCTGCAATTTGAATACTCCGGATTGTGCTGCGGATGGAGACATTGTGCTTGAAGCAGTCAGTTACACTAAGGGAGACCATTCCATGGCTAGTAGACAAGCAATGAAACTGAATGCTCTGGCATTCATATTGGATCACAATCATTTTCTGGTTTCTCATACTGGCTCAAGATTTGTTGGTGACAGAGACCCTGGTCTGATGTCGTTTTTGTTTCCTCATTTAGATCCATGGGGTATTGGAGGATTTTTTCATGTCGCTTGTTCCCATAAGCAGTACATATCAATGGAGGCACAGGTCCAAAACCTCTTGTGTCAGGATGATTCCCCATTCAAGGGCAATGCCAATTTCGCATTTGTTTGTTTTAATATGTTTCAGAAACATGAAGTAAGCCAGAATTCTTCGTTTTGTGTCAGTAAATCAGCTCATCGGACATTGTCTATGGATTTGCAAGCAGTGGCTCCTTTGCTGACCGATTTAGCTGAGAAATGGACCCAATCATCATTTCCAAAGACATTGAATGCTGAAGAGAAGCGCGCACTGAAAGTACTTTGAAAATTCAAACATCCGCGAAGTCTCTTAAAGGTAGTTTGGGATACAAGCTCTGTTGTCGTAACAAGATCCGTGCGCTGATCAAGTGGTTTTCTACTCCTGCTTTCTTTGTCACCGTCAATCCACATGATTTAACAAGCAGCTTGATTCTGATTGTGGGTGGTTTGGATCATGCTGAGTGGCACACTATGTCATCATTTGCTGCAACAGCCCGTGCAATAGAGTGGCTCGCCAAGACAATCTTGACATTTGTACACCCCATCCTGTTGGCAGATGATGCATCTCCTGTCTTCTGGTGGAGCTTCTCGATCGAGGAGGTGATGTAGATATGATTCCTGCCTTGGCAGCCATTGCCTGAGGTAGTCATTTTGACTCTGTATTTTTGAATGCTTAGCCATAGTTTGAATGACACTCCAACATTGTACATGAACTTGCCATGGTTTTTGGGAGTTGCAAAGGCTCAAATGAGCCTTGATCCTGCTCGTAAGTATTGTCAGGAAAGTCTTCCCAAGGAGGTGGTGCCTCAACAGGCTGAATTGTTGGTGATTCTGGGGGAGAGTTAGGCATGGACCTGTAGGCATGTCGCCTTGTGCTTGCAAGTGGGACCTTGACCCAAGTCTTCCTACCTTTGCTGCCCCTTGCTTCCACCCTGTGAGATTTTTGCACTGGGGTGCATCTACCTATCTTCATCTTGTTTATTAATGTTGCAAGCAAGGCATCAGTTCAGGTGTAATGAATTGTTATTGCAATATGATGCGGTGCAGTCCTGTTGGCGCATTACAAATTCAT